CCTGAAAAGCTACAGGAAAAACAGTGATGGTCACTAAAAACCACCCATGGTTGATCCCTAAATAGTTGCATTTATAACTGCAAAGGGTCACTAAAAAACCCATGGTTGGTGCCTAAAAAGCTGCTTGTAAGACAGCAATCGGTTGCTAATAAACACCCTAAATTGCTGCCTGAAAAATTGCAGGAAAATAGCGATAGGTTGCTGAAAACCACAAATGTTTGGTACCTAAATAGCCACTTTTAAAACAGCAAAGGTTCACTAAAAAGCACCATGTTTGGTTCCTGAAAAGCTGCAGGAAAAACAGTGATGGGTCACTAAAAAACATCCGTTTTGTGCCTAAAAAGCCGCTTGAAAAACAGCTAGGGTCACCAAATCACAACCAGTTTTGTTGTTTGTTGGTTTTGAACAGTGGTCTACAGCTTGGCAGGCTTCTGCTCCAGCTTCTAGGTGTCATCCAATCACATTGTCACTTCAGAAACATTAAAGTAATACATATGAAAGCTACAAATGCAACATATTTGTGGTTTGCAGAAATGTACAATGCCAACATTTTCTCCTGGCGACTGCCTGAATGTTAAGATGAGGCTAGCTGCTGTTATGAATACCAGTGGGTGTCGATGGTGTGAGCAAAGGTAAGGGGATTAGTTCGAAGGGAACTGTAATGTGATCAGAATCCTTCAAACCAATGCCCTGACCTTGATCTGAATTTGGCTGTATGTCATGAAATACATCCATTTGATGGGTGTAAATGTCCTCTGAGGGATGCAGCCAGCAATAAAGAAGTGAGAACAGTATTGATTTTCTGGCACTGACATGCTTTAATAAACAGGCAGCATGAGCATCCAGCCTCTATTCAAAACAACACAGTGCTGTCTTCTGCTGCAACAACAAAACACTGTCTCATGTCCACTTGTTTTTTTTTTTTTCCAAGGATACAACAGATGTTGCCTTGTTGGCCACGACTGGGGTGGGACCATAGCGTGGCTGTTCGCCATTCACTACCCAGAGATGGTGACGAAACTCATCGTCCTAAACAGCCCCCATCCTTCTGTGTTCACAGGTATGATTTCACTATGTGCAGACGGCTGGCTCTCCACATATATTTCTTTATGTAATGACAGAAAACCAATTTTCTTTATACTAATTAGAGAGACTCTGGTTTGGCCCTCGGATTATTAGCATAATTATTATTATCATTAATTAGGAAGTATTATTACTTCAGTTCCATGTTTGCATCCAGCTGGCAAATCCTCTTCTGCCTTAAGGGAAAGATGATGAGAAGCTAATTACAGGAGGCTAATGTGAAGCTGGAACAGCTGGTTTAACTGGTGCAAACAGAGAGGCAAAGTCATTGAGAGTCATCACGTCCACGACCCCGCAGCGCGTGCAAACTTGGCCTTTAATTACTATTGAACAACTGAACTTGTCTCCTCTCCTCTCCTCCAGATTACGCTCTGCGTCACCCGAGCCAGCTGCTGAAGTCCAGCCATTTCTTCTTCTTCCAGCTGCCCCGCTTCCCGGAGCTCATGCTCTCCATCAATGATTTCAAGGTGGTCTGTTGTGTGTGGGCATAAGCAGTTTCAAGGTCAAGGTTGTGTGTGCTTGCGTCTCTGTGTGTGGGTCGTATGCATGTGTGTTCATGTGCATTGGTGTGTGTTCCATGTTGTTACAGTGTCAGGCTATTTTTAGGGTTTGCATCAGTGTGACTAAAGCCTCCTGCTGTGAGAGAGGCTGTAGTAAACAAAGGGATCAAACTATAGCTTATTACCAAATCATACGCTAAACTGGATAAGGGCATTTTGTCGCAAATGAGGCATTAATGTTTTTTTGTTTTTGTATATGTTAAAATGTGGTTTTCAAAATCAGTAATATTCATGATGTTGAAACTTGCAGGTTTACTTACAGTTTTAATGCAAAGTTTACAATTTAATGGGCAATATGCTAATTTTCTTTCGTGTTGAGGGTCAGTTGAGAATATTGATACCACTCTCATGTCTGTCATGCACAACAAAATGCAAGCTCCTTTACGCTACGTGTAAATAATCCAAAACAAGTACTACTGAGGAGGAGTTGAGGAGTCTTGCAGCTGCTCTGTAGTGCGGTGGTACAGCAGTAGATACTTGTGTATTGCTTGCCAGACGTCAGCAGGGTGAGGAGGTTGTTGCTGGGTGGGTTATTGTCTTTGAATATTCCTTGGGCTCTGTGCAGGCACCCCACTTCACCGATCTCACTGTTGCTTGGTGGATGATGTTCTGGGCAGAATTATTCATCTGCTGCAGAGCCCTCCTGTCCTGGGTACTTTCTGTTGCTCCTCTGGAGAGGTTACCAAGAACTTGGCATGGAAATTTCTTTAAGAAATACAGCTGTTTCTGTTGTTTCAGATGCAAGATGACCCTATCAGGTTCTCTGTGGTGCTGATTCCACAGAACCTGAAACTATTTATTTGCTCCACCTCAGCACCACTGATGTAGACGTTGGTGTGAGTCTTTGCCTCCTTTTTTCTAAAATCAAGGATCAGCTACTTGGTTTTGCTGACGTTGAGCAGTAGGTTGTTCCTTGTGCACCACTCTCCCGATACTGAATCTCATCATTATTTGTTCTCTTTTATGTATTGCGCAGTGTCTTCTGTGCTGTATTTGCTGCTGTTGTTGTTTTGATATCTACACACCCAGGGACAACGGATGCAAACTAGCCACCAGCTAACTCTGTTGCAGTTACTTGTAATTATGCACTGTCACTGCAAAAACAAACAATAATATAAATAAAATAATCTGGTCGATGGTGCTGGTGTTGTCTACAAACTTCACAACAGAGTTCTCTCCAAGTCAGGGGTTGCAGTTGTGGGTGTAAAGTGAGAACAGGAGAGGGCTGAGCACACAGCCCTGGGGGGTCCCCAGTGTTCAAAACTACAGTTGGGCAGCTGTGGCCACCAATTTGAACTAACTGGGGTTTGTTTGTGAGGAAGTCCAATATCCAGTTGCAGACTAAGCTAAAATAAGCTTAACTAAGCTAAGCTAAGCCAACTGGCTCCTGGCAGTAGTTTCATATTTATAGTTTAATGATTGAGCAAATAAACATATTTCCCGACATGTTCAGCTTTAATTTCCCCAAAGAGCTGCACACGTCATTCAGAGCATAGATTCAGAGTCTGAGCTGAGATTGCCTGCACATGGCTCTCAACATGGAGGTGGCTGAGCCAGTGGCTAGAAGCTAACAATGCTAATAGCGCTAATAGCACAGACAGTGCTAACAATGGCAACAGTGCTGACAGAGCTAATGATGTTAACCTGATGGGGAGGGTGGTCGTTTCGCTTAGGCTGTGTGATGATGCTTACTGTTTTCAGCAGTAACTGAGCACAGTGCAGAGTGGCGGCGATTAGCTAGCCAATACGATACACACGCAGGGACTCACATGCAGTAACATGCACACGCGGCTGGACCATCTACCACAACAAAGAACACAAAGGCTCAGAGGCTGCCATTACTACACTACAAAGCAAATTGTGATTTGCTGTTATATTAATGCTTTGAATGTTTTATACAGAACATTTAACTCTAAGTAACTTACAATTTGCAAGGGAAAGTGTTCATTTAATTTATGTATTTACTGATTACATGACTGGATAAAGTTCCTTCAAGCGTGTGTTGTGTTGTGCGTGAGTTTTCAGAATTGTTAACTTGATGAAGGTCTAGCTATTGAAATGTCACAATGCATTTCTTTTGCAAGTTAGACAGAGTGCAGGAGTTTGTCTGCAAATGGAGTTTTCAAAAGTAAAAGCACAGCATGTCACGTTGTCTAGCCAGCAGTAAGTCAGGGTGCCAGAGCTGTGACTGAAGGTCATGAGAGCTGAAGTACCTTTACTGACTCACAGCACAGTGACCACGGACATCCTTCTGTAAATGTTTCTTACAGCAAATTGTACCAGACACATAAATTCACCCCAGTGTCTGCTTCTGTCTCTGCCGCAGGCTCTGAAGGCCTTGTTCACCAGCCGCAACACGGGGATTGGAAGGAAAGGCCGATGGCTCACTGCAGAGGACCTGGAGGCCTATCTGTATGCGCTCTCACAGCCGGGAGCTCTGACTGGAGCACTCAACTATTACAGGAATGTTTTCAGGTGGGGAGCAGTTCACTGACCAAAAGATGGATTGTGTCAAAGATTTTTCTCAAGTTTTGTAAAGATTTAGAAATAGCAGCAGTGGAAGAAGTATGTGTCAGCACCTGAATGAGGTGCGCACTGTTTTTGTAGATAGATAGATAGATAGATAGATACTTTATTGTCATTGCATATTATAACACAATGAAATTTGGTTGGCAGCAGTCCACTCAGTTTAGTGGCATGAATAAATCAGTGATCATATTTCGTAACACTTTCCAGTTTGAACAGCATGTTTCCTCAAAACGGTGTGAAACAATGTGCAACAGGCTTTGAGATATATTTTCTCTCGTTTGGTTGGTGAGTAAGAAGTGTACAGAAACATGTATATGAACCAATCTTTACTTGACATGACATTAAAAACCTTACAGATAACACTAAGTTGCACTTTTTGTGCTCGAACACAACAGGCTCTTCCTGGCACTCCTCTATCTGACACTGAGTCACCTCTCGTGAAATTTTAGAACGAGACTTCTCCTTGAGCAAGTAGTGAAAGGTAAAGCTGCTTTCATACCCCCATGCACTATGCCCTGACAGCCGCCTACCCCAAAAGTTAAAGTGGCTGCTGCCACCATGGTCCGCAGCTGTGATGCCAGGCAGGTGCTCTGGTGAACAATGGCAGAAGTGCAAGCTAGCTTTTAGTTTACCAGTCATGTGAAGTTAGGTAGAAATGTTATTCCGGGCCCAGTTTTTTTTCTGGATGTCTTTATAGCTACATCACTGGCGCCATAAATCCAGGTACTCAGACACCAATATATTCAGCTCCTTCATCTTGTCTTCTTTCTAATTCCGTGATGCCTGCGATTTGATGGGCTAAAACCAGGCAGCAAACATCACAAGTTCAATACGGTGACCTCAGTGCAGCAGAGCAAAATCTGTGTGCGTGCACATGGGCGGCAACCGCTTTATACCCTAACCACCTTGCTCGAAACCACTTCCCCTTTGTTGCCTTCCCCTCATTGAAATGACTGGAGGTGGCAAATTACTGCACGGCGGTGTGAAAGCCCCTTTCGTTTCTCTGTAGGGTCCTTCCTGTAGTGTTGTCAGACACTTACAGCAACAATCTGAGGCTGACAATGGCCAAAGCAAACACTTTTTGTGGACATAAATCAATGGTGCACGGTTTACCTGCCAAAAATGGAAAAACAACACGCACATCTTACCCAGTTTAGGGTTGGGTGCTGGACCAAAAAAGTTCACATGTAAAAACAAGTAAAGTCTGCACACCAAAATAGCTCCAGTGAAGTATAATTTATTTAAAGCATGACGTCATGAAAAACATCATGCTTTAAAAAAATTACACTTGACTGGAGCTATTTTGGTGTGCGAACTTTTCTTGTTTTTGCATGGTTTACCTGCACCTTGTTTCGCCACTGCAGCTGCAGTGCTCTTTTTGACCAGTTTCAAAAATTGTTGTTCCCATTAGTTACTTACACACAAAAACATGGGGAACTAGGGTCCAGATTGAATACCACAGTTTCCCTTTAAGTTAAAAAATACTCTATTGTACTGTTCTGCTCATAAGTGTGTGACCAGGCAGAACACGTTTCTTTTATATTTCATGGGATTCAGATTAAATTGTAAGGCATCCCAGAATAGTATAATCATTTAAAAACATAGCAACAAAGAAATACTGAGATGTCCATGCCCTTAATTCTTAATAGTGTGTATTGCCTCTCTTAAGCATTAATGATGGCTCGCAGTCTTTGCAGAAGTTGTGTACAATGCCCTTTATTCTCAAAGGTAGTAAAGCTACCCAATTTCCTTGGCAAAAAGCCTCCAGGCCCTGTAAATTCTTGGGTTGTCGTGCATGAACTGCACGTTTGAGATCTTCCCAAAGTAGCTCAATGCTACTGAGGTCAGGAGAACCATGAAGGCAACTCCAGAACCTTCAGTTATTGTTGTTGTAGCCACTGTATCTTTGTCATGTTGGAAGGTCCAAGTGCGTCCCATGCGCAGCTTCCAGAATGAAGAATGCAAATTGTCCTCTAGTATTTTGTGATAACAAGCTTCATTCATTCTGCTATCAATTTTGACTGAATTCCCTGGGACACTGTAGGCACAGGGAACCAAAAACATCAGTGACCCACCTCCATGCGTCACAGTGGGGATGGTGTACTTTTCGTCATAGGCCTTGTTGACTCCAAACATAGCATTTATGGGTGTGACCAAGAAGTTTGACATATTAAAAGTGGCCTGCATGATCAGGTGTGTAAATTTATGAGCACAACTGTAAGTAAAAATCCTGCATTGAAAGTGTCTTTAGTGACTTAAGTCAAAGTAATTAAGTAGTAAAAAAAAAAACGTCCCCTGTTAGTAATATTATGTGTATTTATAATGTAATTATGATCACTGATGCGTTTATGTGTAGGTACCATTTTTACTGTTATAGTTGGAGCTAATTTTAATTTTTACATTCTGCTGTGTAGTTTAATCTATAGCAGTGAATCATATCTGACCTGCATTAGTGACAGGAGCAGGTATGCTGTTGCCATAGGAGACCATTTCACTGTTACTGCAGCTCTTACTTTGTAGTCAGTGTCAGAGTTTGGTCACGGTTGGTTATTCTATACTGTGATCACACAGCCACGTATAAGTCTAAATGATGTGTAGTTCTCAAAAACTTTATGTTATATATTGGGTGTTGTGCAAATGGAGAGCTTATATAATGTTCTTATTCAATGCAAATTTAGTAGCACCATCTACTGTCAGAGCTCTGAAGGACAGGAAGCTGAATCTCTCCCTCAAGGCCACAGTGCTGTCAAATATTTACCTTCACATACACCTTTATTCTGACACGTGAGATGGACAAGCAGAGTGATAGGCACAAATCAGATCAAAGAAAATATCAGTTCATGTATTTTTGACATGTGAGCTGTACATGCATGGCTGAGCGCGCCATCTGCTCCCTTCTCAAGCAATGAGTTCTCTCAGAATAGCTTTTATATGCTTACATAAAAGAAATATCACTGACCCATGCCCAATTAGTCTCTCCACAAGCGCATACTGTACCTAAGCACCAGGGACACAAATACATAAGCACACAGAAACATCCATCCACCTATCTTTTTTATATTTATATCTCCACTCATCCTGTCCAGAGTGGTGGTGCATGGCTGCAGCCGGCTCTGGAACATTTTGGGTGAGACGGAAAGTAACATGAAATTCATTGTTCTTTATTTTATTTTTCTCCATTTCTGTTATTGTTTGTTTTTCTTTTTATGGTGAGGTCTGTGTGGCCCCATGGCCTCTTCTGACATTTTTTTTTTTTACTATTCGGATTTTTATTGCAGTTATATGTGTGTGCAAAAATAAATAAAAATAAATAAAGTAAATACAATTAAATTAAAATGAAATGAAATAAAATGAAATAAAATAAGATAAAATAAAATGAAATTAAATTAATTGAAATAAGATAGAATAAATAAAGATAAAATAAAATAAATTAAAATAGTAGTAGTAGTAATAATAATAATGTATTTTACCCATTTAAATGGGAGTTCTGAATATAAAATTTCAGAAAGGAGGCCTTTTTGATGAATCTATCTAGAGGCATGTTTGGTTTGTCCATTTTGGGCTACTGTAGAAACATGGCAGGCTCCGTGGATGGGGGCCCATTCATTATGAAGATATACACGGCTCACTCTCAGCTAACGAAAACACATTTCTTTGTTTCAGGTGATTGAACAATGATGAAAACATAATTGTGAATGCTGTATTCCATTTCTGCCAATAGATACCGCTAAATTGCACACACTGCACTTTTAGAGGGACAGTTGACTTCAAAATCACAAGTGCATATTTTCCTCCTATCAGTTGTGTTATCAGTTTAGATTGTTTGGGTCATCAGTGTAGGAAGTGTTGGGTTTTTTTTTTTTGGTGACAGCGCAATTGCTGTATAACTTGTCCATTTTACATGTGCATCATTTTGCCCAATGGAAGGAGGCATGTTTTTATTGGCTGACAAAACATTCTCACTCCGACCTTGTCACATATCTCCACTTGGTCATGGACTTACTGTGTCTACAAATGACGTGCAAGGTAGCCTGGTTGTCTGTTGTTGATGCTCTGGTACACTGTGTCAAGTTCAGCCTGTTACATACACCTTGTCTTTTCAAAACACACTTCTGTTTTCATAGGAAATGTACAGTTTGCATACAGTCTCTTTCAAAATAAACGTACATTGGTACAACATTTTAAAAATAACAGGGTTTGGCTTTACATTCAAACAGGAAGCAAACACCAGCCTCCTGGTTAAAAGTCCTGTCCCGACTTTTCACCCCCTTAACTTACATTGTTGTCCAGCCAGGTTTCCCCCTGACGTCATCAGGTGCCGTTACACACTGACAGTGCCTGGCTGCGTATCATGCAAACATGAGAGGGTAGTTTTTTGTCAGTGTCTGATGCGGCAGTATCTGCCCAAGCACCGGGTTGGCTGACAGTGGTATCTCCAGCTGTGACGACACACTGGCTGGCATGAGTGTGACTGTAATATCTGTGCACCGGGCCTTTTGATCTTATAGCATAAGTAATATCAGCAGTAGTCAGCTGGAGCTGGAGACGCATGATAGACAGAGGTGTGAATGGCAGTGTGTCTCAGCTGTCCACTTGTGTTTGGATCAAGGACACATATGCTAACATCAGGGGTAAACAGGCCTGGAGTGAGAGAAGGTAGACATCTCTACAGCCGATACCTCCAACAACTGGCACTTTGTAGCACTACAGGTAGAAGAAATATGTGCTTTTGATTTTGGGGTGAACTGTCCCTTTAAAGTACATTTTCCCCTTAAAATCTTTCATACATTATCTTTTTTTTTTTTTTCCCTCTGTCTCCTTAGCTCCCTCCCTCTGAGCCACAACCACGTCAGGTCTCCAGTGCTGCTGCTGTGGGGTGAGCGGGATGCCTTCCTGGAGCAGGAAATGGCCGAAGCCTGCCGCCTCTACATCCGGAACCATTTCCGTCTCAACATCATCTCTGGAGCCAGTCACTGGCTGCAGCAGGACCAGCCTGACATTGTGAACACTCTCATATGGACCTTTCTCAAGGAAGGAGAGGGACGCAAAAGCTACAGGAACTAAACCCACAGCGGGGGCCTCCTCCGTCCCCTCCACTGTCCCCCTCTCGCTTGCCACACCTGGAAACCTGGAATATGCCTGTGATACCAAGCAACATAGTGATAATGCAATCATTCTTTAAATCTTTCACATTTCAACTATTTTTTAAAGAAGTCAGCGGTAAAGGAAAGAATCAAAGCACACTTCACCTGGAGAGGACACTGAGCAGAACGTGTGATACATATTCAAGATGTTTTTGCACATGACATCCGCCTTAAAGTTTGTCAGTTACAGCATTACAAATGTGTGGCAAAAATCTCCTCGTGATTTGTATTGTGTGGTGCCTTTTAACTATGGAGTTGTCGCGGTGTAAAGCTGTCCTGAGAGACTGGGATGTGGCGTCGTCTGCTTGTGTGTTTCACCGGGTCGCTCCACTCTTCTTTGGGCACAGTCCTTTGGGGAGCCATGACTCTCCCAACTCCCTTTATCAGGTAGTGCTGTCTAAAGGAGGTTTCTTTTTTTTGTATTTTTTCCTCAGAGATACTTGCTCAAACGTAGAGAATGTTGTTATTTTGATCTTCCTGTATAGAAATGTCAGTGATGGTTGACTATTGTACTATTTTGTATCTATTCCTACACACTGCATTTTGAAGATTCACTGAGCCAAGTCTACACCATTTGATTTTATAAATAAATTGAGTGTCAATCTGTTGGACTACACTTCTCTTTATCATTCCTGACCTGTTTTAAGACAACGATAACAACAGTGTTCAAAGCTATGCGCTGTCTCCGAACAGTCACTTCAAGCTTTCACACAGGAGAGATGAAAAACACCAGAAATAGCAATGATGTTCTGTTAAATATAGCACAGAGCCACAGAGTGACACAGCAGTTGACGTTGGTTATTTTTGGCCTCCTCTGTAGAAGAAACATTTTGATATTTTTATTTTAGAATCATATTTATAACTTTCCAACAAGGTTTATATGCCAACAGAAATGTAGATGTGGAATTACACTGATGTGTGTGTTCATCAGTCTTACATAAACAGGTTTTAATGCTGTGCCAGCACACACACACACACACACACACACAATCACTGCAAAGCTATTTAGAGAAGACATCATTCAGGAGATGGGAGATGCACAAGTGTGTCTGTTTGAAACCAGCAAAAATTGATTACTTATACATCTTTAACAAAGTCTTTATTAGCCATTAAAACCCATAAGTTTCAGTTTAACCCCTTTAAATTATGCTTTATCATAAAGTTGTACCAGTATTGCACCAAATCACTCTGCCGTGGATCTCACTACCCTGCAGGATTTGACATCTTTTGTGTTTCTGCTTCTGTAATGCTGATCCAAACAGTTACAGTCCCGTTTGCAGTGACATCATAGGTTAGGGGTAATGGTGTAGGAGAGGACGATGACATCAACGCCAGTTCGTGGCAAGCCATTTGCTGCCTTCAAATACAGTCGGAAATATGATTAGTTTCACATATTTTGGTTGGTATTTGTTATGACTCTTAAAAAAAATAATAAAAATAAAGTCAGAATTAGAACAAGGTTTATTACCGAGTAGGTTTTCACTACATTCACTTAAAAAATGATCTGTTTCAAAATAAAAAAAGCTGCACATTTGTGCAGAGTGTGTGACAAATAGAATAGAATATTACAAAGATTGATGCAAGGATGATTATAATTGTTTGCTATTTTTGATAAAGTCTTTGTTTTGATTTATCCAAAATAGAGGAATGAGACTGAACCATAATTTTATGTAACACTGTGTAAATTAAAAGATGGTAAATGGTGCCTTTCTAGTCTTCTGACCACTCAAAGCGCTTTTACACAACACTCCACATTCACCCATTCACACAGAACAGCCACTGGGAGCAATTTTGGGTTCAGTATCTTGCCCAAGGATTCTTTGACATGAAAAGTGGAGGAACCGGAGACCACTCAGTGGACACCTTGCTCTACCTCTGAGCCACAACTGCCACAGATTAAGCTTTTTAGTTGTCTGTTCTCAGTGTAGCTTTCACACAACAATAGAATGATTAAAATAAAAGGCACCTTTGAGCAGTGCACACACTTTTTATACATTCTTTGGACCATATTTTGCAAGTTTATGCACACAGCTACCACTTCTAAAAATTGCACAGCTCTTTAATTTATACAGCTTTGTCATTTATATTCAGCACATTATACATATTTATATATTCTTTTTAGATATTCAAATACTTTTTAGATACTCAAATACTGCAGCACATTGCACATATTTTTTTATATATTTTTACATGCCTTGTACTCGTATTTACTTCTTATTTCTGCTTCTTATGATGCTTTTATAGTATTTTTTCATATTTTTATTGTAATTTTCTTCTATTCAATGTCCCCTGATTATTTATATATGTACATATATTTATAATAATTATATAATATAATTATATTCATTTATTAATTATCTTAATATTTATTTATTGAATTGTTTATTTTATCTTTTTAATTTATATCCTATTTTCGTATTTATTTATTTTATCGTCTAATTTATTTTTGTTGTGGTTTATGTTATTTTTTAATTAATGTAATTTATTTTCGAAGTTTGTTAGAATTCCGAGATCAGGCGCAGCACCTGAACGCATCATTTGAGAGGGCACGGCGCCTTCCTTGTTCGCACTGCGCATGTCCCGCTGCTTCCGGGCTGTGACGACATGTCCACTCCTTCTCCGTTTGGCTAACCGTGTCATAGTGGGGCGGCGAACAGCGTGCAGCGGTGATGTCAACAACATCGGTCAGTGGGTCAGCCCGTTAACGAAGATAGTGTAATTATGCCCGGTACCGAACCTCACACTAACAGACAGTTAACGGCTGCGGTTCATTTCTCCAGGTTTGTTTTCATCGCCGGTTATTAACGGTTCAAGGTTCATTCAGAGAACTAACTAGTAACGGTCGCCAGCGTTAGCTAGCGTTAGCATGCTAGCCACGAGAGGAAAATGAGAGTAATGTTATTTAGCTTGTAGCTAAAACCGTGTCCGACAGAGACACAGCAAATACACGCGTAAACATAGATATGTGTGTGTGACTATACCTGAGTGTGTTTTATTTTAGGATACGTTAAACTTATATTAAAATAGAGATAAACTGGTTCTTCTTGGTGGCAGTATCACTGGTGTTTTCCCCTGGAGGCTAAGGGAAGCCGGGGTTCTATCATTGAAGCTGTTTTAATTATAACATTACGGTTAAATATTTTTTGGTCACATAAGAGTGACTGGATTTGAGTCGTGCCCGTGTCTTCCCGTTTTAATTGATTTACATCATACTGGTAAGCAGCGCCTCCCCGAGTTACAATGGTGGTAAATGTGAGTGAGTGTGTGGTGAAAGGTGGTGGTTACTGATTTAATCATGTCACCTCACCCAGGGGAGTCAGGTGGCTGGCAACATGGCAGTCAAGAATATTAAAGCATAAAAATGGAATCAGATGTGACTAACTGTATCTATAATGTGGTGGTACAAGCTGGTAGATTTAGGGACTGTTCTTTACTTATCAGAGGGAGGTGGCTGTGGTGTGACTTTTTTTTTTTACCCTCCCCAAAGCTACAAATATTTTTCCTTGAGCCTCCATGAGTGCCTGCTGGAAAATGCATGATCCTCCCTCCACCATAAATTAGTTACTAGATATTAAAACTTACCCTTTGATGTTTGAAAATTAAAAGTTTAGGATGACGTCCTGGAGTTGAGAAAGGTTTTTTCACTTGTCCTGCATGCTGGTTAGTTTGTGTTTGAACAGTTTATTTTTGGCCAAATTTTAAATAAAATGTAGAATAAAATGATTTTGATGAAATATAATTATTTTAATCTCATTTTTGTGTGGTTTTTTTAATTCTGAGGGAAGCATTTGTCATGAACATGATGTGTCCCAGGACTGTTGGGAATTTGAAAATACAGTGATAATTTCTGTCTTACTGTATTTGGCTATGATAAATGAGAATGTGGATATAAGCAATGGAAATGAGTTTCCTTCGTGGGGTGGCTAGGCTCAGGCTCAGAGACAGAGTGAGGAGCTCCGTCATCCGGAGCGAGCTTGGAGTAGAGCCACTGCTCCTTCGTGTCAAAGAGGTCAGTCAAGGTGGTTCAGGCGCCTCCTGTTAGAAGGGTTCCGGGCACGTCCCACTGGTAGGAGGCCCAGGGGCACAACACACTGGAGGGATTACATATCTCATCTGGCCTGGGAACACCTTGGGGTCCCCCAGGAGGTGCTGGAAAGTGTTGCTGGGGAGAGGGCTGTCTGAGATGCTTTACTTGGCCTGCTGCTTCTGCGACCTGGCCCTAGATAAGCGGATGAAAATGGGTGGATGGATGGAATGATGGATGGATGGATGGCCCTATGCTGCATGTCATCCTCACTTTCTCCCCCTTTCACGCCAAAGCTGTCCTTTTGAATAAAGGCACATCCAAAACCAACAAATTCTGCATTAAAAATAATAAAAAATACAACCTGTAAAATGCGTGCACCCCTCCCCGAACATAAAAAACAAAAGTCCTTTTCCAGTGCCTAAAAAAATAGTTGACATGCCTCCCCCTTTTAGCACTACCCCCTCCCCCCTCATAAGTAACAAACAGTCCCTAGGGAAGTAGAGATGTACTGATACCACTTTTTCCTTCCCGATACCAATTCCGATCTCTGAACCTTAGGTATCTGCCAATACCGAGTATCGATCCGATACCAGCGTTTAAAATAAAAATGGATGGAATATGAATTGTTGTATGTCTCAACTCCTAAAACTCTATGTAAAATATTAAGAAATAAATACTTAATAGTAGAATGAATGCCATAAAACTTTTTTTTATTATTATTATCCAGTGTTGACACAGATCAAGACACAGATTAAAGTGCAGCCACACAATTTGGTGAAAAAGACATTTTAAAGGCTACAGTACAGTGCTTTTTAAACTCTGCTTCATTTCTGTTTCATTTGCCTGTAGCGTGCGCATGCGTAATGACGTGAGGCAACGTGGTATTGGATTGGTCATAGGCTGTACTCGCCAATACCCGATACCACATTTTAGGCAGTATCGGAGGCATTTCTGATACTGGTATTGGTACAACTCTATAGGGAAGTCAGGTGATGTTGGCATCATATGCTCATAAATATTAAAGCTTGTTGTACTTCAGCACTATGTAACTGTAGGTGTACTGTCTGTAAAGCGGTACAAGCATATTTATCACATTTTGTTCCTTTTGCAGTTTTATAGACGACCTGTCTGATTTATTTTGCGTCCTCAAAATGATCAAACAACACACCACTGGGTTTTGTCTAGCCCTCCTCTTCTCGAGGCTGAGCTCTCTGTCTTGTCTCTGTCTTAGGAAACCTAATGAGCCATGATCACCACAGAGGCTGCGAGGGAGTTCCAGGCCAAAGAGCGCAAATACAAAGAGCAGCTGAGGAGATGTTTATCATCTGCTTTATCTGCAGACCTTAACAGGTAAGGCATGTGACTGCGTGCACTGAACTTCAGAGGCCGGGGTTAAACGTTCAGGGTTCCTGCAGAAGATCCTTTAAAGGCCTTTAAAGGCATCAAATTTATGAATCTAAAACAAAGGCCTTATGGTGTTAAGATGTTTTAAATCAATCTTTCAAAAGTCTTAAAAATGCTAAGACATGGGAAGCAGGTTTTTGGGAAGTTCATGTTCAACAAAACGCGAAGTCGCCAAGCATTGCCAA